GTGAGTCCGCTGCTGGGATGAGCCGAGGTCGGCTGTTAGTTCTGAAAGTGGAGTGAGACGGGGAGAGGAGATGGTATGGGGATGGCGGGAGAGGGACACAGCTTCCCCTAGGGGGAAAACTCGGACTATATTTTGTTATCCCATGGTATAATGAATCAAAGGCGTAAACGTTCCTTCATTTTGTGTTACTGTTTTTGGCAGGGTCCGATGTCGCCTTGTCAGGGCGAGTTAAGCTGGGATGGGGCTATGGCTGCGTTAAATGGAGGGATCCATGCAACATCACGTCTGTATCGTGTATCTTACGACAAACTCGTGTGACGCAGCGGGAAGGAAATGCTCCTGCCATGGCACGATATAACTGGTGTCTGAGGAAGAAAAGTTGTGTCGCTTCAATCTAAATGATAATCTGGTGACAGCCTGGTGCATGAACACCAGCGCTTTCGTTACAGTAATATTTCGAAGCAACGTGATCATAACTCGTAACACGTAGCGATATTTCACAGTCTAAATGATACCAGTGCTGTCACTAGCACCTAATAATGGTTACTTAGTACTTGCGCGTGCTGCAGACTGTTATGGGCAATCATTTCGACGGTCAGACAACACATTACCTCCAGCACTGGCGTGACATGAGCGGAATTTGCGCTGGCCTAATTCAAACGGCGACCTGCTCATTAGAGAGGAGTTACGATGCGAACGAACCCTAGGGCTTTTCTTATTCGTACTGCTTTACTATCGCATCGATATGCACCATGCAGGACCAGGACACGACCGTGGACTTTTCGGATGCGTGTGTTGATGCCTCATTCTCACTGCTAAACCACCAGTCCTTCACCATAGAGCAGGTCTATTGGTACTGACGACATGCGCGAAATAAGGCGAAGCCTCGTGTCAGGCTAAAGACGTTCCTAGAATGGCTAGGAAGAGAACAAATTCCTATTATCGCATCTTGCCATTTTGCGTTTTTATGTCATCTGATTCGTCTACTCATGCTGAATTCGACTATTTAAACAATCAGTTGAAATGTTCACAAGTTTTTATCCCTTTATTTTAGCTAAAAGTTTGTAAAATTTCCAACTATTGCTTTAAATATCCCCGTTGAGCATGAGAAGACGAATCACATGACATAAAAACACGAAATGGCCTGAAATGAACATACGGGGTTTTACCTTTGGACGGCACGCGTTTCTCATCGGCAAAATGCCTACCTGAGTCGCTACCTGTGACATCGCAAGTGCCTACATCATACATAAGCGACTTTTCCCGAAGCCGCCGGAACTGTCGCGACGCACTGACCTCTGACGTCATAAGTTGCAACTTGTGGACGGCGTTTGGTGCTGGGGAGCGCGGCCATGTACTTGAGAGCGCAGCCCGGACACTGGGGAGCTTAGCCCAGGTACTGTGGAGCGCAGCCCAGGTGCTGTGGAGCGCAGCCCAGGTGCTGTGGAGCGCAGCCCAGGTGCTAGGCAACACGTCCCAGGGTCCCGTTCTTGATGGGAAAATGCTGCCAGACGCTCCGCCCCTTCAGGTAACAACCCATGACGTTCCAAAGTTACATCATCTACGTCATGGAGAACGCTTCAAGTAACTCCTCAACATGGTGGCTAGTAAAATCAGCTGTTTCCCAACAAACACATTTGACGCGCAGCAGAGATGATAATGACGAGTCGGGACAGTCAAATGTACTTCAATGTATAAATGTACAAATACTTCAGGGAATCTCTCACAACAGCTGCCTATACCATAACGACCTAGCTAAACGAGAATATTATAGGCAGAGAAAGGGATATCATCGCCCTCGACTCAGAAAGACGTGACATTATTTCAAGCGTTGCGTGGGCGTAACCACATGCAGTGGATCATACCACAGATGCGAAGTTTAAGAGGCACTGGGCATCACGCGATCTAAGATCATCGTGCATGTATCTTAAGGTCGTCCATATATTTTGCTACGCACGAAAGAGTTTCGGCGCGTGTGGTTGCAAGCAGGGATACCGCTTTGCTCGGAGCACATGTGCAGGGATAAATCTCATGTTGTGACAAGTCGCATTAAGGAGAGTTCTACATATAGACACACAAACGAACAATATCCATGGTAACATGTGACGTCAGGTTATGCAGCATATTTACACTTCAAAACGTTCAAGGAATATATAAACTTTCCCACAATCATACTGTCCAGACAAACTATTTATGCTGCAGGATCAAGAAAGTAACTAACACAGTGGTACACTCGCCGACGTGGCTGTTCTGGCCCTGCCAAAGCGCCAACATCGCGTGAACAAAACAGAAAATTATGTAGCTGACGTGATTCCAAGACTTGATGACGTAAATTTCAAATTGCAGTTTCGTATCTCGCGCGAGTTTTTTTCTCACAATCTCTAGGCGAAGCTGGCTCCTTATTATAACAGTCACGGCCATCGCAGAGGCAACCCGAAGCGGCCGTTGGAAGATGTGATGCCTGCGCTGCAATATCTTGCCGAGCCAGTACCCAACACTCCGTTGGCGACAAGTTTCGAGCTTCAAAATCTGGTTCACACTAGTATCTGACAATATTTTGCAAGTACGTTGCTGTCACGCGCGGTGACGCCATCGCGTGGCCAATAGGAGCGCGGCTACATGAAACCATCGCAGGCCTTGCAGCGTGCGCCGGCTCCCCGGGTGTGGTTGCAGCCATCAACGGGTCCTTTCTCTTCATGGATGCACCAAGCAAGGAGATAGCAGCTGCTCATAATACCCACAAGCGTCACCAAATAGCACATCTACTGGCTATTTGTGATCACCGCGGCGCGCTCACAGATGTACTTGCAAGGTTCCGGGATCCGACCACGATTCTCGCGTTTTTTTCGGAGAACTTTTTCACTCGGAGAAAAGTGTTTTCGGAGAACCCTCTGCTGCGACCTCAGGGAGCATCGGCGGCAGCTTCTCCCATCTAACACACACCTCATCAAAGACAGGACCTTCCTCTTTCCCCGGAGATCATCACCCCTTCCCTAGACAACAATCACCTCAGCCCCACTCAGCGCCACTTCAACAGACCATACAAAAAACCACGTGTCGAAATTGAGCGTGCTTTGAGCATGCTGAAAAACAAACTGCGGTAGCTAAAACATTGAGGAGTGAAAAACATGGACAATGTGGCTGAGGTTATCATTGCATTGACCATTGCACCAGGCATCAATCATTGCATTGTGCATCATGAGCATGAGGCAGGGGATGGCATAGTGCCTGTAGAGCCCCACGAGGCAGATCCTGTGGAACGGACTGACATAGGTGCACTGTTGCTTTCTAGCATACAGAACCTGCAAGTGCAGTGCACGGGCATCACAAAGCGACAGCACATGGCTGACCACCTCATGACAAAGATGATGATGCATGCAGCTTGCTCCAGTTAAATGTTGTAATGTTAAGATTGAGAAAGATAAAAGCGCATCAGAACGAACAGTCAATTCATCCCACTCAAATCAACACAAACACACTTTGGGAAACAGACAGGGAGCAGCAAGTGGTGTGTTTTGAAGAAACATAGACTGCAAATCTTGGGGACTCTCCACATCGAGAAAGGCAATAATTTGCGTAAACCCAGTTGCATTACTTTGGGCAACATACAGTATGACAATTTTATTGTTTGATCGCCTAGTGCGTGTCAGATCTCATCCACAGGTGTTAACATTTGGCACATATCATTTTAAGAATTAAGTGTTCACTGCCTTCCATAACTGACTATTTAGGTTACATGATGACGGTAAAACCCCATTCAAACAATACTTAAATGCAAGAGGATGACATCTATGACGTATATCAATTTTTTACAACTCACCCACCTTGTCAAACACAGTAGACAAAGCAATGGCCATAGTGAATGTTTCTTTGAAAAAGTATATATAATGGCCACATCGAGAAGATTCAATGCAATTAAAATAAGGACAGGCCATAGCTTGATGTGTACAGAACAAATTGCTCAAAATTATGCATATGTCCTTTATCATCAATAAAAATGTTCAATTATGACAATTGTATGCTCCTCTCTTGTACTTCCACATGCTTCAATACCACTAGCAACTACTCTGGGATTAACCTCACATCCCTGTTACCTGTTAATAAGATATGCTGAAATATATACCAGTGGTTAATCTGTTAACATAAATTTTAGGTAATGTCACCATGACACACTGTTCAACAGTAGGGTTCCAGGACTCCACCATCCCCATGTTGTTCATAATCTGTCAGGCATGCAGTGAAGGTACAGGTCAGTGAAAAAGTGACATAGAAAACAAGTGTAACCATATCAATAATATAATTTTCATGCAGCATAACAATCATGCTTACAGGTCACACAACTGCATGTTTGTTTGTTTAACCTTTACCAACCCATGCCTGTGGTCTGGTAATTCAAAATAGTCAATCAGACCTATGAAACAAATCAGCTTGCATTACAGGAATACTTTCAGTGTGAACAAAAGTGTGAACACCATTGTGAACAACTCAGTGTGAACAAAAGAAGCGGCCTGGTTTATGCAGACAGGCTTATGTGTGACTAGATTGACTTCGACGTTATTTATGAGGCAATGTTGTGGTGGAGCGGGAATGGGCCTTGGCTCAGTGTTTGGCAAGGGTGTGCCCTGTAGGTAACACCATTCAAACGTGTTACCGACCGTAACACCACTAAAGGTGGAATGTCGCCTCTTTGTACTTTCCCCTTATTGTTAAATCAGACGTGTACGTTTTGATCAGTAATATCAGTTTTCTCGAACTCCTCAGTAGTTCAGGATTTCGATTTGAAGAACCCCCCTACACGAAAGGAATCTCATTGGACCCCCTGCCCACCACTATGGGAGTAATACATTTCGTTTGCCTTGCTTTCCCAACAGGTGTATTCCGTAATGTTTACAACACGTTAATTGTCGTTTTTTTGTGCGGTGCTGAGAGGCGTAGTGCTTTTACAAAGCGTTGACAGCGTAATTTGTGCTTGAAAATAATTAAAATGAATACTCTTATTG